GGGGGGGCTGTCTCCTGAAATCACACTGGCGGAGGGTGGGGAGGTTTTCAGGTGTTCCCATCCAGACTCTGCTTGACATGGAGGAGGCTGGCGTGACTCATTGCTGTTTGCTGCTGTGAGTCAGCTCTTCCCCCACAGGGGCCAGCAGCCCCTAGGTTTATAATTGCAGCGGGAAGAATTCCATCCTGCCTCCTCCTCCACCATCTCACTCACCGCCACAGGGCCGAGCCCCCAGACCACTCTCACTGCGTGGACAACATTCCTCGTGTTCATTTGCTCACCCCTTACCTGGCCTCGTCTTCCCAGACTCCTCCTGGATCTCACAACCCTCACTGCAGCCTCTTCTGCAAGTGTTTCTCTCGTCTTCATTTCGTTGCAACCCAGTTGTTAACGGTTGATAACCTTGTTTGCTGCCTTGTCGTGTTTGCTTCCATATGCTGTATTCTGAGAAGCCATGTCCTCCTTCCTCCCCACACCACCTCCAGACCTCCTCTGTTCCTTCCTGCTTCAGAAGCTGCAGCCCCTTTGAAGCACAGGCCCTTATATACCACACCCCTTTTTTCCTACTGGATGCTCTTGGCTGCTTACCGCCCACTCGCTCTTCATGTTCCTCAGTGCACCTGGCTGATAACCCTCCACCCTTCCTGTCTCAGCATCTTACAGATCCGTGTTTCTCAGAAGAGATGAGACCACTCCAGGAGCATTTTGGAGATGATGAGGGCTTTTGCTTGACATATACATCATATATGTATGTCATATATATATGTGATCATCTATAGAGCTATAGAGTTGTAGATACAGAGGGACCATAGTGGCTTATATTATGTAATTAACTTATGGATTTCATTTCAAGATAGGAAAGAAGATACTAAAATATATTTGCCATAAATATATTGAGGATGACTGATGTAGATCATGTCCAGGACTTCCTTACTACTCTAACGACGTTTTCCTCCAGGACCTACTCACGTGGTCACCCCCAAGCATCGTCATCAAGAACTACCCCAAAGCACACATCTAAAATCTGGTCCTAAATATCTCACCCTAACTGTCCTCTTTCTGTCCCTGGGGCTTTACTGATTCCAGCTCTTCTCCATCCTCATGGAGGCCTCTTGGCACGGACCCTGTCAATGTCCATTTTCATGTTTCTTTTTCCTTTTGAGTTCTGACTTCCCACATCACCAACCTAGACTCCAGCTTCTCTGTGGTGAACAGCCATAGCTCTCATGTCTCTGTTCTGCTGTCTTCCTACTCCACATATGCACTGAGAAAGCTGTCGAAGGTGTGGAGAAAAACCACACATTGTCCCAACTCATTTCAAATTTATGGCTACAAGTCTCAAGTCAGCACTATCAGATAATTCTGCCACATTTCCTTGGTGTATCACTCTCCAATTCTTCATGATAATTATTTCCCACCTTCGTCTCTCTCCACAAATTTTCAATACCTTGTCCGTTATCCCTTCTACCTTAGCTGATGATTTCGTGGAAGAGAAAGAGAGACTTGGATGAGAACTGACTGGTTATCAGCAGCCAGGTTGGCAATCATGTCCTCACCCCACCTCCACCTGTGCACCAAGTCAATGCCCCTCCTCATTTCGCTTACACTCACCTCCCAACAGCTGTTGAAAGAGTCATACTCTCTTTCTTGAAACATGTCCTTCTCAAAACTGGTGTGTCCTTCATACTTGCCTCTCTCACTTCTATACTAATTGTTGCTCCTTTGAGCTTCTTGAAGATGGCTTTGCTTCCCTCAAAATCCTCACCATCAAATCCACCACAATCAGGTCCACCACTATGCATCATCACTCTGTCTCGGGCCCTCTTCTCGTGTCTAACTTCTCTCCCCAGGAGAGCTGGGTCATGTCCCTGATGGCTTCTATTTTACCTCTATCCTGATGGCCAGACCTCTCCTCAAGCTTCAGACTCCTATGTCCAGTTGCCCACCTAGTTCTTCAGACATCTTAAACTTATCACAACCAAAGCGAAACTTCGCAGTAGGCTGAAGAATGGCCCCTGGAGACATCCAGGTACTAATCTCTGGAGCCTCTTGAGGTGACCTGATGGGGCAAAAGGGATTTTGCAGATGTGATTCATGTAAGAGTTGTGAAATGGGAAGATATTCCTGAATTATTCGTGGGCCGAGTGTTCTCATAAGAGGGAGATTTAATAACGGTGGAGAAGGAGGTGTGACATAGGGAAAAAGATGTGAGAAGAGGCAGAGAATGCAGGTGAGTATTAGAAGATGAAAAGGTGAGGACAAGAGCCTCCCCTCAAAGCCACCAGGAAGAACCAGCCCTGCTGACATCTTCACTTTAGCTCGGCAAGACCGATTCTAGATTCCTGTTCTATAGAATTAGAGAACACAAATCTGTTGTTTTAAGCCACTAAATGGTAGTTTGTTGTGGCAACAATAGGAACCAGATGCAGCTGCTATTACCACCACACAAATTGGAGATCCTACCCTCAGCCCACCACAGCATGGCCTGCCACCACTCACCTAACTGCTAAAGTCCAAAGCTTCAGAACTTTCTAGATTGTTCTCCTGAGTAACACCTCACCTGTCAGCAAGTCTGTCAGCTCTCCCACGAACCTACATCCCAACTCCAGTGATTTCTCATTGTCTTCATCACTATAACCCTAACCCAGACCATCACTGTTTCTACTTGAATCAATTCTTGGTTGACTTTCTGCTCCTATGCTTATTCTTCAGTTTATTGTTTCACAGGGGCCAGAAAGAGCTTTCTGAAAGGTAATCTGGTCACATCATTCAAAAAAGAAGGCTTTGTATAGTAATCAGGATAAAATATAGATCCCTGCCCATGGGCTACCAGGCCCTTTCTTAGTTTGACAACATTGTCCAGAGTATCTCCAACCATTTACCGACTCTTCCACAGCGCCCTGGCCATGTGACCTTCCTGGACCTTTCTTATTCCACTCCCAGCTCCTGGTCTTTGCACTGCAGATCCTACCACGAATATGCTGTCTCTCCAGATCTTTCCATGGATTTTCCTTCCATCAACTCACATATTACCTCCTCCAAAAGTCGTTCTCATGACCCGCTCACTAAAACAGGACCACCAACACCTGCAGCCAGTGGCTACTTTCTCCAGTCTTATCTTCCTCCTGGCGTTTGTCAGCCTCTGGTTTGTTCATCTTACTGCTTCATGTCTCTTGTGGGTAGAGTGGAGGATCTCTGGGCACAGGACACTGTCTGTTTCCCTCTTCATTGCACCATTATGCCTCATTGTCCATTGTAGAACCGTATACAAATTCTCTTTCCCGGGAGTATGTGCATTGGGCTATTGTGCAGAGTTAACCATGGGGATTTCAGACATCATTCAGCAGGTGTGGAGCAACCACGGGTTCCTTTGATGGTGCCTTTGAAAGCACACAATTCATTCCATACCTGCTCAGTACTGGTGCCATGGATACATGGGAGAAGAAAAGGTAGTTATATTAGGCATCAATGGGCAACTAAATGGACGGAGTGGAGTAGGGGTGGGTAAATTCACTGAACGTAGGTGCTCATCTGTTCCATGAATGTGCGTGGCTGCCATCCACCTCCACCTGGGGAAGCACCCTTAAGTCTAGGAGTGGGGGATGATAACCCTGTGGCTCAGAGCTGAAAGGTAGGTTTGAAACAGCAAAAGAAATGGTTCTCTCTCCAGCCTACCCCAGCCAATGCCTTTATTGGTTTATAATCAAAGGGAGGCTGAGCCTTGCTTCCTCTCACTGGGTCTTTGTTTTTCTCTTCTCCCTGCTGCCTCAGGCCTCATCATCCACGAGGGCCCCTCTGTTTACCGCATCTTTAAACGCTGGCAGGCCGTCAACCAGCAGTGGAAAGTATTGAACTATGACAAAACGAAAGACCTGGAGGATCAAAAGGCAGGAGGCAGGACAAACCCCCGGACCTCCTCATCCACCCAGGCCAATGTCCCCTCCTCGGAAGAGGAGGCCTTGGGCACCCCTCCCACTGAGGAGGGCCCCACCCGGGCCACCAGCCACCCCTCAGGCCCTCTTTCTGACCACCACTGTGCTTACACCATCCTGCACATCTTGAGTCACTTCCGACCTCATGAACAGCGGGGCCCGCAGGGCGGCAACCGGGAACTCGTCATGAGGGTCACGACGGTGTAGAGGCCCTGCTGGGAGGCTGAGGCCAGGCGAGCACCAGAGGGAGCTGGACCAGGAAGGGCCAGCTGACGGGAGGCCTGTCGTGGGCGGGGCAGGGGTAAGGAGAGCGGCGGCCCCCCGGTGCTGGAGCAGACAGTGAAGGCAGTGGGCCTTGAGGGGCCTGGGCTGGAGCTTTTATGGGTACGGTGGGTGTCATGAGTCTTTCGTGATTTCCCATCCAGCAGTACCGTGGTCCACCAGCGAGGGCAAGGAAACAACACAAACTCAACAGCCAGGTTCAGTACAGACAGAACCTCACCAAATAAGCAACAGAAACACCCAGGTGCACCCATGTTCTCCACACCCGGGTGGAGAGGAGACTGGGAAGGGCCAAGGAGGTGCATCTGGGATGCACCTGTTTGCACCTGTGGTGGGAGAGGAAATGCAAAGAGTGCGGGAACAGCAGCCACCCTGTTTTCTGTTGAGTTTGTCTTGGGGTCTCCCACGAACAGCAGGAGGGGGAGGAGCGTGGGCTGGCAGGGAGAGGGGGGCGTGAGCTGGCAGGGCAGTTCACAGATTTTGGAGACCCTGGGTTCACCTGGATGGGCAGAGTTCACCTCAGAGGTGGCTTACAGACCTTGGGGGTGTGGTGTAGGAGCGAGGTGCTGGCTGGCGTGAGTGTGCAGAGGGCGGGGTTTCTCCTCCCTTCCCAGCCCTCCAGACTGGAACTCCCAGTTTCTGGTGGGCTCTGCAGGCTTGGGTTTGGAGATGGTGTCCTTGTGTGCCCTTGTTACTTTATTTTATGGTGATTTGGCTCAAAAGATGTCCACACACATACACACACACACACACACACAGAGTACAGGTTTCTCGTGGGTAGCTCAGGCCTGGTTCTGAAGCTGTGACTTCAGCCTTCAGCGCTGTCAACCCAGGAGCCACTTTCCCAACTGCTGCCGGCCCACAGCCAGGACATGCTCGGTGCCATCCGTGCTCCTCCTGGCTCCATGCCCGCGAAGTCCCAGGTCCCCCCTGGCAGGGATTCCCCCCTCAGAGTCCCCACAGAGAGCTGCTCTCAAGGCGGGGGGCGGGGTGGGGGGAGCAGGAGGCACCCCAAGGATTGGAGTGAGACCAACGGAAGTATTTCTTGCTGAGGGCCCACCCAAGGGCCCTGGCCCTTCCCGCTCGCCCGCGGCCTGGCCCGGAGCACTATCCTCGGGGTCCCGGGAGTCTGCCTGGCAGCGCCACTGGGTGGTCACTGGCAGTTTCTCGTTGTCACAGCACAATGGCCGTGTCGTCGTGGGTACTAAAGGGACACTGTCAAGTACTTTTTTTAACTAGTTTTTAGGGTTTTTTAAAACTCTCTGTTGTTTGTATTATTCTCTTAAAAGCTTGAAAATAAAATTTCTTTCCCTACCACGAGTGTCCTTCTCTGTCTGTGTGAATTTTTGCCCTCCTGTGCTCGGTCTGTGGCTTGATTCTACCTTCCCTCTTCCTTGTGTCTGCTCCATCCCAAGTGGAGAAATCAGGAGCATTTTCATTCTCCTTTGAGGGTGCAGATGGGACAGGGCAGGGGTGTGTGTGTGTGTGTGTGTGTGTGTGTGTGTGATGATTCCTGGCCACCTCTTAGCTTCAGAACAGATGAATTCCTTCACCTCAAAACAAGGAACGACTTCCAAATCCTCACAAGCCTTCTGCCCAGATCTAGAAGCAGAGATCTTCAGTGCTGGCAGGGAATTTGGAAGCTCCCACTCTATTGGATGATTTCACAGATGTTTAGACAACCACAGGCCAGGGCCAGGTTAGGGCCTCATCCTCCTGACAATTTTACTTGGAACCAGAACATGGCCCCCAGGCAGGGCATGGACATCTCTCTGGCAGTGATGGGACCCCCTTTCAACTGGACCTGGCCTCCATCCCAGGTGACCAGTCCAGGCTAGGGGAGCTTCCTTCCTGGATGAATCCAAGGCATAATCGTTTTTGCAAGACATGTGCAAGGTAAAGTGAAAACCAACAAAACACAAGAAATAACTTATGTAGGGTAATGATGTCTGTTTTTCAGAGTGGCCTAGAAATGGGATGTTCAATTTCATTATTTATAGAAAATAGAGATGTGTACTAGCCCTCGCTGGTGGCGCAGCAGGTGAGGATGCTGCAAGCTGGCTGCAGCCACTTCGCTGAAAGTTCAATCCCCGCCCCGGAGCTGACCCACATGGCGTGGCAGACCTCTCCTGACACGCCTGCTGCTCCCCTCAGCAGTGTACTTCATCGCTCTGCCTGTTCTGCTCCTCACTCTGTTTCTGGCGAATCTTCTCACCACCCCTGCACCCAGTCCTGTATGCATATATAAATAAATATGTTTTAAAAAGAAAATAGAGGTGTACTGCGTGGATGATCTATTTTCAAAAAAGCATTAAAATGTGACCAAGTGTGCACAGCACCGAGGCTGCCCTGGCCTAGTGTCGTCTATCCTGGCTGACCCACAGGGCACCTCAGACCCCCATGGGCGTTCAGGATCATCAGCTGAAAGCTGTTCTGCAGAAGGGGTGCCTGATGGACAACTCAATAGAGCTCAGGAACTTGTTGGCTCGTGATGATGCAGGCTCCGAGAGATCAAGGGCCTGCCTGTTCTGTTTACTGGTGCAAATCCAGGAGAGACAGCACACTCCCGGTGCTCAGTAAATATTTCCAAACAAACAAAGCAGTCCTGGGAGAGCGCAGGAGCCCCTTCCTCCAGTGGGCGCAAGCCTCCTTGTCTTCCGACTCATCTGACTCTCAAGGTCAATCATAGAGCAGGAAGGTCAACTTTGACCTTCTCTACCCAACAGGTGGTAACCCAAACCCAGAAAAAGTGTGCTTGGGGGAGTAGAGCTAAGAGCAATGGACACCAATGGGCTTTTGTATTTTATGTATTTTTGTATTTTATATATATTTTGTATTTGTATTTCTGGGGAACTAGGCAGAGACGCAGCCAGGGACTCCTGTCTTCTTCAAGGTGTCATCATCCTTCCTAATACCAGGCAAGGGTCTAGCTATCCTGTGGAGTATCTAGTGAAGAGGGTTGAACGGTGCTGGAATCCATTTGAATATCTCCCGCAGGTATGGCCCACGCGTGGACCAGGACTCTGGTCCTTAAGACCCTTACTCTGTGCCAGGCACAAATAAAGTACTTTATACATCAGCACACTGGTGTTCCAACCACTGGCGAAGTATTACTGCTGTCATCCGTTTCAGATGTGGACATTGCAGCAGGGGCTATCACCCCTAGAGCCGGCGAGTCTAAGGGAAGTCTGGGTCAGTCCAATGGAAAGAGGTCACCATAGAGGCCTGCAGGAAAAATCTGGGGGTTGGCAGAATAGGTGTAAGTAATTATAAACTATTCCCCCAAAACCCCGAGTGTATCTGATGATTTTTGTGATGTCCAGGTGGTATCCTGGCTGAATACAAGCCTGGATAATAGGAAGTTGGCTCTACCTGAACAGTGGGAAATTCCGAAAAGACAATGGCCACCATTCAACCATGTTTTATGGACAATGGCCAGGTGTCATAGGCTCATAGAAGCTTTTTTTTTTTTAACCTTTTTTTTTTTAAAGATTTATTTATTTATTCATACAGAACTGGGGTACAGGCCAGAGATGCGGAGGGTGAGAGGATTCACCAGAGACAGAGCGGGGAGCAGAACAGGCAGATCGACGAAGTACACTGCTGAGGGGAGCAGCGGGCGGGTCAGGAGAGGTCTGCCACGCCATGTGGTCACCTCCGGGGCAGGCGGGGATCGAACTCATGCGGAAGTGGCTTTAGTTTCTCAGTGCAGTGCTTTAACCCGCTGCGCCACCAGGGAGGGCCCATAGAAGCTTTTTTAAGGAAAAAAAAATGGATAGAAAATGATCCTACCTGAGGGCTAGATTTTTATCTGATTCCATGCAAGTGGTGCAGCATGTTGGGTTGAGGGCTGTCGTGATAGCCCATAAAATTTAGGAAGAACCTATGATTAGGGGGTCTCGAACCTGTCTATCAGGAGAATCTATCAGTCACCAATTTAGAGCAGAGAGCCACCAAAAATTTGGGATGTTTCTCTGAGCTCATTTACTGCAATTTTATTGTTTCACGCATGAGACTTAAGGACAAGGTAGGGGCATGGTTTGGATACAACGATGACCAATTTCTAAGAGGAACGATGCCGCTGCGTAAGAAGAATCATTACAGTGTGGAGGTAACAGCTGGGGGCAGGGCAGAGGGAGAAAAGGTTTTCCTTTATTCCTCGCTGCCTTTTCTCCTCTCTCTGTGCGCACTAGGAATACACCAGGAAGGACCACTGCCCTCTGCACCCCACATCCCCATGCGTGCTGTCAGCGGTGACGCCTGGGAACGGGCAAGGCCTGGGGGTGCCGGGGCAGTTGCCCACTCTGAGCTGACTAAGTGGGGAGGGTTGAGCGCTGGCTTCACCCCAGACCTGAGTCTGGGCCTGGCTGCATCGGGATGGTGGCCGGCTGTTTGGCTGAGTGTCCTCTTGTTTCCCTTCCCCACCAGCCTATCCCAGAAACAAGAATCTGCCAAGTAAAGGCTTCCTTCTCACCCCCGCACTGGCCCAAGAGCTGAGCCCTCAGTAGCCTCTGATGCCCCCACCACTGATCATTGGGGTGCATCCCCCCCTTTAATCCTGCACCAAAACACCTCACCAGCACCCTGGGTTTCCCCCTCCCCAAGCACTCAGTGGGTGTTTAGAGAAAAGAAGAAGCCATGGCTGAAGAGGGTTTGGGGAAGAGAAGTACAAGCAGGCCCCCCTGTTTCTGTGTCCTCTGAATTGGGGACAGAGAAGTTCTCAGGGTTGGTGATTGTATCTCTGCTCTGTGCCCAGGGCTTGCCAGCCACCAGCCAGCGGGGGGGAGCAAGAGCCCACCTGGTTACAGCACCCCCGCCC